ATTTGGGATCCGGATAGAGTATTTTCTGGCAAGAGGTTCTCATGCGAAAATGTGCCCTTACGTCTTTGTATACGAGGGATAGAAAACAAATCCTCTTTGTTGAATTTTGGATTTGGGTGACGCGAAACGTGTTAACTCCTAAAAGGGTGCCGTGACTAAAAAATAAAAAAAAGTTGAAAAAGGCTGATCTAGTAGACTTAAGACTGGTCCCCCACCCCTTCCATGGCTGAGCCCACGCTACGCCACAACCGGATGCAATGTACACCTGAATAAGGAACCGAAAAAATATCTATTATTTCCGTGTTGTAACACTGATCACACGACATGTACACTTTTCAATCTGCTGTCTCTATGAATAGAAATTTTCAAACGAGAATTAAAGCGATCGACTTATTATAAGTTTTAAATTGGTAAATCAAAAACATCGAATCCTTTAACGTAAAAGTCTGTACATTTATTTAGTTTTCTCGCCTTTTCAATGTAACTGATCAAAATTCTTCACACATTTTATAAAAAAGCATATAGCAAAATTGGAGTCCATCATAAAATCTGATTTTCGGTGTCATGAAGATTAGCCCCCCCCCCCTCTATCTTTGTCTCTGCCTCTCTCTCTCTCTCTCTCTCTCTGTCTCTTTCTGCCTCTCTAACTCTCTCTCTCTGTCTCTCTGTCTCTCTCTGTTTCTCTCCCCCTCTCTCTCTCTATCTCTCTCTTTACATATGTCTCTCTGTATGTATTGTATCGTAATGCATTATCGTATCAATGTTTAAAGTAGAGATTATACTTGTAATTTGTACAAGAATAGGTGTTATGTATACTCACTTGAAGATTATCATGAAGTACTGTCATAATGCTACTGGTATGATCTCATTACAAGACTGACCTTTTTTTCGTAGTAGAATGTAGCACATCATTGTTTGTTTCATAGAATAGTTGCGTACTGTAATAAAAGGGGCCAAAATAGCGCTAAAACCCCTGAGCTTCTGGGGGCTCTGCCCCCTGAAAGCTCGCCAATTAGTGTCCTGCCAGTGTCTCAAATTAGGTATAAAAAATATGCTCAATTGACCGTAATTAAATGCCCATACCCCCTGAGCTTCCGGGGGCTCCGCCCCTTGACCCTAGCTGGGGCATTGCGCCTAAACCCCAGACCAATTTACGCTATACGCTCTTCCTGATCGTAAATACTTTTGCTTCCCGCACCCACTTTGAAAAGCGTTCAGCGGGGTCTGCATGTAATAATGGAGTGAGGCGGAATTTTATCTACCCCCCCCCCAAAAAAAAAGGTTTCTGCTCATTACGCCACTGCTGATCAACATTACGTACCAATATTTAGATCATATTAAAAAAGTAAAGTTTGGAAGGAAATTTGACATGAAATAATTAGGTCACACAATACAAAAAATGAGGACAGTATTAATAATTGTGACCGTTTGTAAAGTGCCATGTCTGTCAAAATTGACACTCTTGGCGAAGTTGTGAAAGAAATTGTATACCTTGCATACATCTATCAAGTAAGTCAAGAAAGAAAGCAAAATACACATGAGTTTCAGTTTAGCATACTTCAGAACACAATTTTGCAATGATAGAATTACAACATCGTTTGTAACATAAAAGCAAGGTCGGTTAAATACGCTTAATAAAAATATGCGGGTATAAATTGAAACATAATATAGGAGATACTGCTAATACCAAGTACAATACAATACAATACAATGAACATTTAGGGCGCCATTCCCATAAGGCTCAGAGCGCTAACATCAAATAATATTATTGGTCTTTACTACATGTAGTAATTAAAGGCTACAATTAGATATTCCATATAAAATATTAAATTCAATTGATTAAATTAAATAATTAAACATAGAGGAGAATTCATGTAAAGAGATGAGTTTTCAGAGCCTTCTTAAAAATATCGATAGAGGCAGATTGTCTGATGGACATGGGGAGATTATTCCACCCTTTGGATGCTGCTACCGTGAAAGTACTATCCCCGGCTTGGACACGTGTAATTGGATAATTTAGACGGAGGTTATCATTTGAAGATCTGAGATTTCTGCTTGGTGTATATAAAGTTAAACAATTAGACAGGTAATTAGGAGCTAGGTGGTGCAATGATTTATAGACATATAAGAGTAACTTAAAAATGATTCGCTGTTGAATTGGAAGCCAGTGAAGGGAATTAATTAATGGTTGAGCTGAATGACTTCTACCGACCTCAAACACAAGACCGTGCTGCCCAGTTTTGTAGGCGCTGGAGACGGTTTACATGTAACTTTGGAAGAGAGGAAAGAAGTCCATTACAATAATCAAGTCTAGAGAGAATTAAAGACCTTACAGCATGATGACAAGTTGATTGATCAATATATCTACGAATTCGTGATATGTTCCTTAAGTGAAAAGTGACCGTTCTACTAACATTGTTAATATGTGAATTCATACTCATATGAACATCAAAGAATGCGCCCAAGTTTTTAATTGTGTCTGTAGGTTTTACGGAAATATTTCCTATGGTGGGAGTTATGTCTGGCAATTGTCTGAAATTGTGTGGTGAAGCAGCAATAAAAAAAACTCTGTCTTACTGTCGTTCAATTTCAACTTGTTAATGGACATCCAATTCTTTATATCACAGATGCAGTTTTGCAGTGACAACAATGCACAATCTAATTCACCACGTATTTTGGGATCAAATGAAACATATAACTGTATATCATCCGCATATACATGGTATGACACATTATGATGCTGAGTAATATCACTAACCGGGAGGGTGTAAATTGTAAAACCAACAGGACCTACTACAGAACCTTGTGGCAGACCAAACTTGGAAATGATAGGCGCAGACAATTCCCCTGCAATGTCTACTTGTGTTGACCAGCCATCGAGATAAGACTGGAACCATTTTAGGGCAGTGCCTTTGATACCAATCCTCGTTGATAAACGAGAGACTAGGATATGATGGTCGATGGTATCAAAGGCTGCTGACAAGTCTAATAATACCACAAGAATTACTTTGTTTGAGTTAAGTGAAAACATAATATCATTCTTCACCTTGATCAAAGCAGTTTCTGTGCTATGTCGGGGTCTATGTGCAGACTGAAATGGGTCAGTAAGATTGTTAGCTTCAACATGCTCCATTAGTCTTGAGCAAGCTACTTTCTCAATGAGTATATCACAGTGATAAAAGATATAAGGGTATAGTACAGAGTATGACATATTGAAACAAGCTAAGATGTTGAGAACAGAACACAGAACAAAACTGAGATGTGAACTGTGAGTATTGTACTGTAGTGGCTACCGTAGAGTGTTTAAAAACATTAATGACCGACGGGCTTTTCCTCAAACTTATTATGGGGCACAAGGACAATTATTAAGTATATTCGTTGAAATAAGCATGATCATAATCTTGAATAACTGAAAGAGTGTTTATTTATTACAAAACTGGAAGAAGAGATAAATTACAAAGATACAGAAATGGTGACAGACGAGAGAAGAAGAGATAAGAGAGAGAGAGAGAGAGAGAGTCAAGTTCAAAGATACAGAGGTAGTCAGGTAGTTATCAGATAATTTCACTGCTCCAAAAAGAATGAGACTCACTAGTTTGGCATGGAGGGATTAGACCTCCCTGCAAGTTCACTGGCAGGTGGTAATATCTCATAAAATCAGCTCTCAATTAACCTTTTAAAAAAGGGTATCATTGGGGGATCAACGGGTACCGCTTAGGCATTGTTAGCTATATAGAGGGCGCAAGTAGCTATAAGTAGTGCGGTGGGGCTTTAAGAATCGTATCTATTAGCAGTCACTACCCCCAGGCCATCGTCATCTGTACCTTTCTGACAAGCTCTATAGCTATAAGTATAACTATAAGAGATTGATACTCAGGACCCAGCTTTAAATCTGCACATAGTTCGTTGTAGGCCTTTTATTGACACACTGTATAATGTAACAGCACCTACATCATCTGAGGGGCTGTGCTTCAACCAAGGTCTCATCGTCTTTCTTTATTTTTGTTCTACATTGTACTGTTATGAAAGAAAGATCTTCAGAGACTCATGGGTGTAACTACATCCATGAGTCTCTGGAGATCTTTCTTTAATAACAGTACAGTACAGTACAGGGAAGTGAGAGGTAAACTTTACAAAGACGAAGTGCCTGGTAGTCTCCAAGAAGAGCAGTCCAAAATGTAACTTGAAACTGAAAGAACAGGTTATTAAACAAGTCTACTCTTTTAACTACCTCGGCAGCATGATTACCGAGGATGCCAGATGTGAGACAGAGATCAAGAGAAGGATAGCTCTCGCTAAATCTGCATTTTCAAACTTGGGCAAAATTCTGACAAATCGCACAATAATAATAGTACTGAATTGTTACACCTATCCAGTACTTATAGTGAAACATGGACTTTAGCCTCTGATACCAAAAAGCGTTTGGAAGGTTGCGAAATGTTTTTTTTTTTAAAGGAAGAATGATGAAAATCCCTCGGACTGACAAGGTCAGAGCTGGAGTGCAAAGGCAAATGATACGTGAGATGATTGTTGATTAGGCAGTTAAAGTTCATGGGCCATAATTATTACACGTACACAAGGCCTAGAGAAACTTGCTTTGACAGGGAAAATTGTGGAGGAGTAGTGGAAGAAGGAGAATACTTTGGATGGACAGTCTGCAGACATTGTTAGAAGAGAGAGGAGTGAAAAAAACTGGAAGTGGTTCTATTAGATAATGCAGCTAGGAGCCGAGGGTTGTGCATGGAACAGTATGATCGCCAAAGTCAATCGATATGGCACTTAGAGAGAGAGAGAGAGAGAGAGAGAGAGAGGGGGACTGTTATGATTATACTCTATTGTATTTTGTTACATCTTATTTCTGGAAGACAAATAAACTTAATACTTGATACTTTATACTTGATACATCAGTACAAGTACGACTGTACGAGAATACACCCGATGCTGATCTGCATTGAAGAAGAAGGAGAGGAGGGGGAGGGGGAGGGGGAGGTCACTGGCGAGCGAATTACTATACGGTAGCACACGCGATACACACAACATGAAGTGAGAGTGTACGAGGGTTCCAGAGTGAGATTGCATTTGCTCGCACTCTCCTGGAAACTATTGCACGGAATATACACGCTAGGAATTCTATTTCGGACAACATACAGGCGGCCGTGGGGAATTCTCGGCTCGCAAGAATGTAAGTTCATTATATCAATATCTTGATTATGATATCAATGTTGACGTTCATGCATTCTTAACCAAATAGCTTTATTCTTAGAATGTTTATTTGGAGTGCTGCCAAGTCATGCAGAAATATTTATTATACGGTAGCGCCATGGTATATCAGAGGCTCAGCACCCAAGAAAGTAATGTTGAGATTTGTATGCATGCATGGCATGAATGAATCAAAATGAGCGTATGCGACATAAATTCGAGATGGATTCGTATTTGCAATTATGCAACATGAATCATATTACCAGGGCATAATAGAGCATGTATTTATGTACGTATAGCAGCGTGTAACATGATTATTAAACGCTCCTGTACTATAGCACGCTCACGCAGATAAACATCTCCGCAATGCAATTTCCCCATGCTCTTTCCAATCATGCCAGCCTGTCTGTTCGCCTGCACTATGATGCGATACGTTACAGGCATGCGAGCTGCACACTTATTACACGTGTGTTGCCAATAACCCCTTCTCATGTTGAATATAGGCCGAGCTGAGCAAGCGGTTGTTATATTATGCGAGTTATGTCTACATGTCATCATAATTCTGCCACTCTCTCTCTCTCTCTCTCTCTCCTACTAATGTCAAAGATAATGCTAGAAATGCTAGACATAGGCCTTCAAAAGCAGACGGAGCGGATCTACAAAATATCCCAAGCTTCTTGGTGTATTTCAGAGCCTTGTATTTACCTGTTAAAAATCATATCGCTTGACCTATATTATCAGCAAAAATCGAAATACTATATCGTAATTTAGTAGGTCCATAAATTATCTATTCAAACCGATGGTATCTCTGTAAGGAGCTTTAACATTGCTTGAGGTATTAAATGATGCGCCAAATAAGGAATGGAATCTTCCAAGCATAGTTACTTCTATATAGTAGGTCAATTACAGTCATGCCCTTGTCATAAATAGCAGCGGAAGTTGTAAATTTCTGGAACGCAGTAACACCCTGGAGTAACACATATCGAGCGGTGGAAATAGGAGTGCAAATACGATTATTGTAATGAAAATTGATAGGTATATTATACACCCTTCTCTGGAACAAGCATTCATGTTTCCATATCACGCATTTTTATTCAATATCTCTGTTTTTATTTAAAATATATGCCTTCTTTGAATGAAAATAGGAACTTCCTTAATTGCAGGGGGCATGTTGATAATAATGTCTGGCATTATGGCCCAAAGTAAAGCATATCGCACACTATGAGTCTGACTGCGATCCTATTTTGGAAGAATTTGGTATTTTACTCGATAAAAACATTCAAACATGTAGACTCTTAACCGTCGAGATTCTGAACAGTTGTGCAGATAATAAAATCCCAATTTTTGAGGATTTCTGATGTCATTTTCTTCATCTAGAAGGCTTCCCAATGCACTGAATTGCGATGGTGTGTTTTTATAATTATTATTATTCTAAATCTGACGACGGAAGATGGTGTCGATATCTAATACGATTGCCATTTCTTTTCAAATCGGATCGCAGTCGGATTGTATATAATATACTGAACTCTTCAAGAGACATCTCAAAACATATCTTTTCAATGATGCATTTAATTAAATCATGTTTTGTAGATTAATTTCAGATAGTTATGTTTCTTGTTTAATGTTGTTTTGTATCTTAACTGTAGAATAAGATATTGATTTGTATTTTAAAGTGTAAAATAAGGTATCATCTTGGATGTAAAGCGCATTAATGAGAGTTCTGTCAGTTCTTAAATGCGCTATATAAAAATGTATTATTATTATTATTATTAATTCTTCAAGACATCTAAACTTTAAAGCGTATAATTATGCTGTGTCTTCTTTAAGGGTGGATAAAGATTATTCCAGATTGACCTACAATAATACATGAAATTACCAGCAATTTACTTTTCTATTATAATTATACAAACACACAACGTCATCAATATTGCGTGACGGCCTCATTATATTACGAGCAATATCTCCTCGCGAGATATTTATTTGCGACAGCTGGTTATTTTGTGACATGACATTTGATTTCTAAGACAAGGGGGTCAAATTAAGATCTTTACCTTGAGCAATGACCAGAAGAGATAGATAGATATGTTGTAGCGAATCAAAAGCATTTTACGATGCGAATATTCCACAATGTTTTACTTTGTTTTTGATAAGAGAAACAGACATTGACAACGTTGCATGAAATAAAGACAATCCAGATGATCTATTAAGCAAAAGAAGAGGATGACTTTTTAACATGGCAGCATGGAATTATAAGCACCAGTAATATGCCTTTGTAAAATAAACCAATTATGAAATTATAATGATTGCAATACATATTAGGACATGTTTTTAATTTTATCAATAAAAATGAATCAACCCTTCATTGAGAAAGACTACCAGTAAAACTTCAAAAATAGCTGTGCAGTGTACAACAACAATATACGGTTTGACTACGAAACCATCCGCCCACAGAACGAAAGGAAAAGAGGAAATTGAAAAAAAGAAAACGTTAGTTGTAGTTTATTATCAATGATCGCATAAATCACGTAAATAATAACCATTTATATAAGTCAAGTAGTATACTCTCGTTATAGCGTAATATCGATAATGCACATGTGAAAGTAAAAAATGAAACCTCGGAAATGATTGATTATGTTTGAGATGTACAACAATTTCCGGGAACAATATGAAATAAATAGAAATTGACAAAGTAGTCACTAGTCACATATAAGAGGATCGCCAATGTCAATATACTCTTCATCACCTAAAATCTTCCAAACTTTCAGAGGATGCCATTTTCGGAAGACGCAGGCACGCCCGTGTATTATACATGTACTTTTTTCTTCTTCACCCCCATCCCCCCCCCCCCCCCCCCACCCCCTCTCCACCCCCGGTCGCCCCTCACCACCGTGGAATTCAGAAAACGTCCACTTGGTTTGACGTCACACTTCGGCCACACCCTATTTCATGGCTAGACAGTACAAAAATCAATAACCAAAATTATAAATGTCGATATAATACGTGTGATGTACCATCAGCACATTTTCTGTGACGGGATATCGGGCCATGTGTTATGAATGGGCTTTACTAACTGGCAAGACTTGAACTCTGGTTGGCCTATATACAGGCCCTACATGTATATTCATCACATAGAAAACTAGTAGTAGTATAGTATGCGTGAAACGTAAATAACTATACATGTCCTTTAATACCTTAGGCTTAGTCACACCATGGACCCTACCACAAGACCGACAACAGACCGACAATAGAACCACGAAATATAACATTACGTCTGTCATCATTGTCTATGGCCAAGAACCGGTCGGTTTGGAGTCGGTCTCAAGTCGGTTTGGAGTCGGTCTCAAGTCGGTTTGGAGTCGGTCTGAAGTCGGTTTGGAGTAGGTCTGAAGTCGGTTTGGAGTCGGTCTCAAGTCGGTTTGGAGTCGGTCTGAAGTCGGTCTGAAGTCGGTTTAGAGTCAGTTTGGAGTCGGTCTGAAGTCGGTTTGGCGGTGTGGCTGAGGTGTCGTGTATGACGTATGGTCTGATATAAATCTGATTGAAATGATTTATTTGTATAGTAATTGCTACTTTGCATGATGGGTGGTAGTACCATTACTCCTCTCGTCTTCTAGATAGCATCAGGCATGTCTTTGATAGCATTTAGTGATTGATGACATACGTATATGGCCAAATAAAGCTAGGATTCACAAGTACCAATGTGGTCGTGACTCGTGATAATGTTTAGTTGTTGTTTAGATTGCAGGTACTAAAAGAATCGGTTTCGGTGGAAATTAATGTATCTAAATGTTGTAATGTCACACTTGACAACACTGTGATGTATCTTGCGAGCTCCTCTCCTAATTGGTCTGTACTGCATATTTTGTGTTTGTGTATAGTCCGACTTCGGGCTGATAATGACATGGTGTTTGTCTCTTCATAATAATTGTATTTTCGAAAGTCTGATTTCTGAAACTATCCAGTTCCTAAAAGGGCAATCACACCCTTGTAATAAGTTCATTTGAATGGAAGCATACAGAAACATCCGAAAATAGAATAGCGAAAGTTATGAATGTTTGAATTATGAGATCACAACAGTTTTGCGAATCGCAAATTTGTAATTTTCTCTGTGGAATATGATGATTTGACAGATAACTCTCCCCTTTGTCCGATTTCATTCAATTTTTCACCTGCCTGCATCTCTGATTTTTTTGCTTTCTTCTAGAATAGTTTGCTCTCACGGTTGGCACCCCTTTTTATTATTTAAAACAATATTTACAATGAACGAATGAATATAATGGGTGAATTCATCATTATACTTAGCTTACTTTGGCTTTTCACTCATCGACTATCACTGTACAAAATAACATAGATTGAAACGGATGTCCAAACTCTACAATGAACACATAGAGGCTCAAGTCTATTCTTGTCCACTTCATGGAGCTGTTACGTAATATGAAGGAGAATGTAGAAGAAAAAACATAGGAGAAGAGGCAAGATCAGAGAGAAAGAGATTAAAAGATACAGAGAGAGAGAAAGAGACAGAGACACAGAGAGAGAGAGAGAGAGAGAGAGACGGAAGAGATGAAATATGAGAAAATAGTATTTAAAAAGTCGATAGCTGATGATGACTTGTAGTATCAAAAAAGAAATCTGATCACAAATTTTTTACAGAAAAAAAATGCAATTTTCCATTCCTATATCGACATAAACCATTTGTCATAGTGCATTATGTTTAATTTTGTATATTATTGTAAAGGAGTTGAATTTTGTTGTGACTTTGCCTGTAACATTATGTGCTAATCCAACGCCGAAACTGATTGGTCGCAGTCCTGTCATTGTTTGGGTCTTTTTAAAATGTTTATAATAGAATTTTGATTTTAATTCCTGATTTTCCTGTTTAGAAATCAACCATAAGAAATGATGAGTTATAATGTACCTCAACTTTGTTTCAAGTACAAGAAACATGGTAATAAATAATGTTACTAACTTACTATTATAGATTTT